CAGAGGTCAGGCCGGGGCCCTCTGAGGTCAGGCCGGGGCCCTCCGAGGTCAGGCCGGGCCCTCAGAGGTCAGGGCGGGGCCCTCCGAGGTCAGGCCGGGGCCCTCTGAGGTCAGGCTGGGCCCTCAGAGGTCAGGGCGGGGCCCTCAGAGGCCAGTCCGGGCCTTAGCTTCCTCGGTGGTAATAGGCGGGTTGGGTTAGATCATCTACCCGCCCCCCAAAAAAACAACCCGCCTGTGGGCAGGGAAGGCTGTTGGGCAGCACAGAGTAGGTGGACATCGCATCCCCACGAGTGAGTTCTGATGGTCTGCTGTTTGCTCAGCACGGCGACCCCGAGGCCGGTGGGGCTGGCTCAGATGGCAGTGTGGCACAGGCGGCCGTGGCCCAGGCCACACGCCCACTCAGTGGCCACGTTCTTTGGGCGAGTGTCCTCACTTCTTTGTGCCTCGGCTGCCCCATGTGTAAAATGGGGTAATAAACATCCCGCGGGCAAGTGAGACGCCGTGGGTGGAGGTTCTAACTGCTCGGCGTGTGGAAATGGCTCAGCACACGTCAGTTGATGGGGCTCTGGGCGTCACGTACCCGTGGTGAGGAACTCGGTGGTGGTCACCAAGGGGTCCGTGTGGCCTCTGCTCAGCGCGGCCAGAGGCGTTGGGATTGGACGCCTCGGCATCTGTCAGGCAGTAACGTCTGGCCGGGGCGTGTGGGGTTCTGGGGTCTTGTCTCCCCAGAAGGCATGGGAGTGGCTGCTTCCGGGCCCTCATGCCCAGTGGCCCCCACACTTGGCTCAAGCACCTGGCAGGTGGTTTTCAGTTTGGGACTCTGTACGGTCGGTAGCAGGGTGTCCACTCTGACTAGGGCAGCTCATGCTCTAAGCAAGACAAACAACAGCTTAAATTCCATGCGAGCAGACCGAGCAGTGGACAGCATCCGGGTCCTCTCTTCCGGAAAACCTCCCTGAACTGCAGCCATGTTGTCTGTTCTCTCTGCTCCCTGGAGCCGCTCGGCCCCTGGCTCAGGCGGCCAGGGAGCCTCTGGCTGTAGTCAGGCCGCAGCCTCAGCTTCCTCGCGGGCACCCAGCTTTGCAGAAAGAAAAAAATGGACAGTCCAGAGCCCACGCCACTATCTCAACGGCTACATGCCATTGAGTTCCTAGAAAAGTGGGCCAGAAAGTGGGAATGGCCTAGACCCGTGGTCGGCAAACTACCGCTCGCGAGCCACATGCGGCTCTTTGGCCCCTTGAGTGTGGCTCTTCCACAAAATACCACGTGTGGGTGCGCACGTACAGTGTGATTGAAACTTCCTGTCCTGGCCTAGACCCAGCTTCCCCATCACCGGACGGTCAGACTGCACACGTGTGTCCGGCACAGCGGGCCGCAGTGTGCCCGGTGGCGTGCCGCGCTCCCGCTGCCATGCATGGCTCTCCCAGCACCAGGGCTTACGGCCATCGCCGGTGCCTTTCATCTCCAGGGCACATTCCTTTTCCTTTTTTAAGATTCTGAGCTTAGAGCAGGGTTTTCGTGTATTCATGGGGAACCTGGTATTTCCCAGGAGGATTTGCTAGGGCAGTTTATGGGTATGAGTCTGCACTGAGGCACCGAAAAGCTAGGTGGGCACAGGGGCGGCTGGAGGCACAGTGGTGGGAGGAGGTGAGCGCTGGACCAGGAATCCAGAGATCGGCCCCAGGCGGATGGGGGAGCTGCTCTCGCCTCAGCTTCCTCGTGGGTCATGTAAGTGCTGGGTTCGCTAATCTTGTGAAGGATGGTGCGGGTGGAGCTCAGGTGCCTCTAGGTCAGTGGTTCTCAACCTTCCTAAAGCCGCGATCCTTTAATACAACTCCTTATGCTGTGGTGACCCCCAACCATAACATTATTTTCATTGCTACTTCATAACTGTAATGTTGCTACTGTTATGAATCGTCATGTAAATATCTGATATGCAGGATGTATTTTCATTGTTACAAATTGAACATAATTAAAGCGTAGTGATTAATAACAATATGTCATTATATATGTGTTTTCTGATGGTCTTAGGCGACCCCTGTGAAAGGGTCGTTCGACCCCCAAAGGGCTCACGACCCACAGGTTGAGAACCGCTGCTCTAGGTGCTTCTAATCCCTTCTGAAGTCTCTCCTCTGTGCCCAGCTGCTCGTCCTGTGGGTGGTTTGCTAACAGTCTGTAAAAGTGCGAGTCCCTGAGATCACCCTGGCCTGTGACACTGTGCGGGTCTCGTGTGTCAGGATGTTTTTCCATCATGAGTGTCATGCACAGCGAGCGCCCACCGTCAGTTGCGGCAACTTCCGAGGCGGGCGATGGGCACGTGGCACACTGCGTCCTGCGTGGGACGGGGCGCCCCGGGCTGCTGCTTCCTGCTGCTGAGGCAGAGGAGCTCCCGGGCGGCCGCCGTCTGCCTGTGTCTTCTGGCTGTAACGTGGGCCCTGCTCGGGGCATTTGACTTTCTCACTGACGGACACGGGACTCAGCCTCTCACGGCACTGCTCTCTCCCCGCGACGTCCTCGCCCCACGCCATGCCCTCTGCCTGGCCGGGCCGCCACGGCCCGTGGGACAGCAGAGCCTCGCGTGCCTTTAGAACACGCAAGCAGGTGCTCCTCCTGCCCCTTCCTCCCCACCCCACAGAGCTGGGAGCACCCCCTGACCTCGGCCGTTGTCGTGCAGGTGTTAAGCCCCACTTACAAGCAGAGAAATGAAGACTTCAGAAAGCTCTTTAAGCAACTTCCAGACTCGGAGCGCCTCATTGTGGGTGAGCGGGTGACTGGGTTGGGGGCGGCAGGCGGGGGGGGGGCAGGAAGGAGGTCGGGGAGCTCTGGGCCCTCCCACGGCTGCTTCTGTAGAGATTCCCAAGTAAGAGCCAAGGCTGGTGAGAAAGCCTGTCTGGGAACAGGGAGAGGGGTGCCCAGAGCGCTGACCCCAGGCTGAGCACCCGGGTGGTGCCTCAGAGAGCCGACCTGGAGGAGTGGCTCCCACCCTCACCCCGCAGATGGTCGGCGGCGAAGGGAGGGTACTTGTGGGTTGGAGCAGGGCATTCAGGGATGGTATAGGACAGTGGTCGGCAAACTCATCAGTCAACAGAGCCAAATATCAACACTCGCGAGCCGCAGTTTGCTGACCACGGGTATAGGCCTTTCTACCGCCTCTCATGGCAGCCGTTCCTCCGCCTGCAGGCAGTGGTGTGTCTCACGGCCTTCCTTTTCCCGAGGATGAGATGCTAGGGTCTCCTTGGCACTAGTTCAGACCTGGTCAGTGTAGGCAGGTCCCCCATCCCCCCACCCCCGTGCGGGGAGGGCAGGTGGTCGTGGGAAGTGCTTCCGGAATCTGAGCCCCCCTCCCCCCCACAGATTACTCCTGTGCACTCCAAAGAGACATTCTCCTTCAAGGCCGACTCTACCTCTCGGAAAACTGGATCTGCTTCTACAGCAACATCTTCCGCTGGGAAACTCTGGTAAAGACGGGCCTGCTCCCGCGGGCGGTCCCCTGGGCTGGGCTGGGCTCAGCGAGCAGCCCCCACTCGTCCCTCTGCGGGCTGCTGCTCGGCCCAGCCGTGTGCAACTAACAAAGCACGGGCCTGCTTCTTCAAGGCCAGATCTCTCCCCTCCCACCCTCTTGGGTGTGGAAAAGAGTGTTGAGAGGATTTGGCAATAGTCGATGCAGAGGCAGACGAGTGGGGTAAAGGGGCTTTGGCCTTTGGCCCCAGACCTGGCTTGCGCACTTTCTGGGTTCCACTACTAATTAGCCATGTGGTTGTAGGTGCATCCTTTACTCTTCCTTTGCCTCTCTCTCCTCACTTGTAAAATAAGATGGGAAAAGATAAACCAGCTGACTTGGCCCTAACTGGTTTGGCTCAGTGGATAGAGCATTGGCCTGCGGACCGAAGAGTCCCAGGTTCGATTCCAGTCAAGGGCATGTACCTTAGTTGCGGGCACATCCCCAGTGGGGCGTGTGCAGGAGGCAGCTGATCGATGTCTCTCTCTCATCGATGTTTCTAACTCTCTATCCCTCTCCCTTCCTCTCTGTAAAAAATCAATAAAAATATATTGAAAAATAATAATTTTAAAAAATAAACTAGCTGACGTGTATGGTCTCCGTGGTGCCATGCTCTGTGTCTGAGTGGCACCGTGCTGGCACCAGCACATTTGTCAGGCTGTGAGAGGAGAAGCGAAGGTCCCTGGACCGAGAGTCCAGGCCCCTGGGGCTCTGGGCAAGGTGTGGCCCCACCTTGCCCTGTGGCCTCTGAACGCAGGGCCTACACCAGATGACCTCTGAGGAGGTTTAGAAACGTAGACGGGTCCGTTTCTTCTGTCTGAGCGGGTGCCGGGTGAACGCCCTTCGCTGTCTTAATGCCTCTCTGCTTGTTCTCCATTGTCTGTCCCTGTGGAAATACCAGCTGACTGTCCGTCTAAAAGACATCTGCTCCATGACTAAAGAGAAGACAGCGCGCCTCATCCCCAACGCCATCCAAGTTTGCACTGACTCAGAAAAGGTAAGCGGAGTCTCACCCTGGACTTGGCTCCCTCCCTAAGCCCCAGCCCCCAGCTTCTGTGTTTCTGCCCTTCGGCTGCATTGATGGAGAGGCTGCGGGCTGGGTGTGAGGCGGGGAGGGATGCAGTTGCAGAACTGCCTCCAGGGGGGACAGGGCGTTTGGGGGGCTGAGGAAGGAGGGCAGGACACGACCTGGAGCCAGGAAGCCTGAGTTCGAGTTCTGCGACCATAGGCAGATGTGTAGCCCTGTAGCCTCGGCTTTCTCAGGTGTAAATGGAGCCGGCAGGACCTAGATACAGAGTCTTGAAAGGACATCACACATTTGAAAACACTAAGTTGTAAAGCGTAAAGCCAATGTCAGTTGTCATTGTGTATCAGCAGAGCTCCCGGAGGGCGCGGGGAGTCTGATGGAAAGGAATTGTCCTGTGGGTGCGGGGAAACATGGAAGATAAAACTTAGGGCAGAGAAGTACTAGGACCGTGACTACCACCTTCGGGGGTGGGGGTGGACTCGTTTCCTGCCCATCACAGGGCAGCTCAGTGACAGGAGCGTCAGGGTCAGGTCGCTGTTGGTGTGACTTCTGTTTCTGGCACGAATCAGCCTTGTGAGTACAGAGGTCACCCAGCTTCACAGCCGCTTCTCTTTATCAGGTACTAGTGCCCCCGTGCACAGATTCGTGCACATGGAGAGGAAATTAATCAGAAGGTGGCCAGTGGGGCAGGACTGGGTGAGAAGGGCCAGACACGCCCTGGAGCCAACTCCCGCAGTCCCTCCCTGGCTGGTCCCACCTGGGGAGGCGCTGCAGCTCATTGGGCATCTGCGGAGTGAGCAGGTCCCTCCGGCAGGTGGGGTCCCTCAGCCTGGCCTGCGGGGATCGGGCCGAAACCGGCTCTCTGACATCCCGAGGAGTCCCGGTGTGCCAGAGGGCAGTTCTCTGGTGACGCACCGAGAATCGGGCTCCCTCCTCTCTGGTTCCAGGTGCAGCACCCGAGAACCACTGCTGCCAAGTCACCGCAGCTTGGCAGCTCCTACATTGAGCGTCTGGCCCCTGGTGGTCATTGTGCGTCATAGCTACCGTTCCGACGGTTGCTTAGCCTTTTATATATGTAGATTAGCACTTAGGTTTATTTCCCAAGGCTTTTGCATGGTGTAAATAAAGCAACATCTGTGAGGCACCTAGAATGTGTTCAGACAAATCTGGTTTTGTCTGGCTTCCCACATGTCATAAGGCTCCCACTGATGCGTACGCTCCGTGAGAGAAGGGTCTCCTCCCGTGTTGTTTGCTGTTGTTCCCCAAGCGTGTGGGATGGTGCTGGGGTCCAACCCCAACAGGTCCAGGGGTCCCCAAAGGTGTGGACGGAGTCGGCGAAGAAGGAATGACATGGAGGCAGCCTTCGGGTGATCATCATAGCCAGGTTCCTCTAGCCAGGATCTCCAGCGAAGTTCTGGCTAGGATCCCCAGCCAAGTTCTGTGTCCACGTTCTCTTGCTAGGTTCGCCAGGTTCTCCAGCCAGGTTCAGTCACCAGGTTCTAGTCAGGTTGTCTTGCCATGTTCTAGCCAGGTTCTGTAGTCAGGTTCTGTCTCTAGGATCTTCAGCCAGGTTCTCTCGCTAGGTTCTGTCTCTAGGTTCTGTTGCCAATTTCTGTCCAGGATCTTTTGCCATGTTCTCTCCAGCGAAGTTCTTCTGTCTCAAGGTTCTGTGTAGGCTCTGTGTCTAGGTTCTGTGTCTCTAGGTTCTGTGTCCTGTTGTCTTGTTACATCTGTATTTATACTAGTTGATTCCAATCCTATCAATCTCTATTCCAAAGGTTAGGGCGTTTCTTATCTCCATTCCAGGGAGTAAAGATTATGTAGCTTAAGCACGATTGTTCGTAGTTAAAGTGATTAATTACCCGCCTGGCACTTAGTTAAAGGGTTTTATTCCCTCCCTAACTTCAGGGGAAAATCCCTACCTGGGGAAACAACCTTTCTCAAAGAGGTGACCTTGGTTAAAACACATAGTGCCAAGAAGGTGAGCAAACATATTAAGAACAGTATGCCATATATGCCAGGTCCCTTGAAACAGCAAGGATGGACCGGCTCCCGGCAGGATGGTGCCGGGCACATGCTCACCCTGAACGCCCTGTTGAGTGACTGAATGAAATGGGGAGGGGATTGTCTTCCCTTCCCCTTTAGGCCAGTTCACAGCTCCCCTCACCCAGTCCAGCCGGTAAGGGAAGCAAGTGTTCCGTGTAGATGAGAGCTTCGAACAGGAAGGGGGAGATTAGGGGAGCGGGTGACCCGAAGGCCTCAGGGACAGTGGGGGCCGGGATCGCGGGGCCTGAGAGCCGTAGCCGAGGCTGGAACGGGTGGCTCTCTCACAGGAAGGAGCAGCCTGTCTTCATGCCTGTTGTGCGCTAACCTTCACTCACATTTCTGCCGTTTCCTTGCATCCAGCACTTTTTCACTTCGTTCGGGGCCCGGGACAGGACGTACATGATGATGTTCCGGCTGTGGCAGAACGCGCTCCTCGAGAAGGTGAGCACTGCCCAGCTCCGCCCTGAGCCCAGGACCCACTCCCACTAGCATGTCCTCCCCCTCGGCGTGGGCCCTGTGGAGGGGCTGCTTGCTCTTTACCGGGCTGCTGGCCGCTCCCAGAGGCCCAGGTTTCCTTGTGGTCCGGGAAGTCCCCCAGACATTCTCACAGGTGATGTCACCTGAGTCCTGGAAGTCGCCTGCCTCCCAGGGCCTGCTGCCTGGCCAGGGCCCTCCGGGATTTGTTCCTGTCAGATGTGATAAGGCACAGACACGTGGAAGTGACTCTGAGTTTTATACTTACACATCTGCCCCAGGGCAAAAGCGCCTCAGGCCACGCAGCCGCTGGGAAAGCCAGGGGGTCGGGAGGCGGAGCCTGGGGAGCATGGGCGGGGCCTGAGCCTCTGAGGTTTTCCCAGGAAGGAACGGGGAGGCTCGCTGGCCCTGGCCGGCCAAGCACACTTAGGATTGGCTAGTTTGAACGATGGAGTAGGGCGTGGGGTATGGAGACTGCCTCTAGCTGCCTGGTACGTGTCCCTGGGGTATGAGGGCAGGGGAATACGGGTGTGGAGCATGAGAGCTAGATAAAGAAGTTGGTGGGGGTACGGGCTTTGGATTGACTTGTTGCACATGGAAGGTGTGCCCCTAGGCAAGTTTTCTAGCGCCAGGAATGAGCTGACACTGGGAGGGGCAGGTGCTCCCCGGTCAGCAAGGCCTCAGATGCCAGAGCATCAAAAATATAGAAACCAGAGAAACAGTTAATGCAGCACAGCTGTCTACTCGAGTGTTCTAAGGACACAGTGGAGACACATAGATGAAGGAGGTGTCATGGTGCAGCCCTTGGAGAACTCCCAAGCCCAAAAAAGGAGACATGAGAAAAGATTATGTGATTATAGTTATATTGTCTGTGACATAACTAAGTGTACGAGGGTATCTGCCTTGGAGGTAGCCCAAACTTACTACTATTTAAAGACCTTTGGGGGTCGAACGACCCTTTCACAGGGGTCGCCTAAGACCATCGGAAAACACATATATAATTACAGTGGGGCCTTGACTTCTGGGTGTCCCGACTAACGAGTTTTTTGAGATACCAGCTGTCTCTCGGCCGAATTTTTGCATTGAGTTGACAGAGTAATTTGAGTTAACGAGCTCCTTAACAAGCTTGGTCTCAGAACAAATTAAACTTGTAAGTCAAGGCCCCACTGTACATATTGTTTCTGTGATTAATCACTATGCTTTAATTATGTTCAATGTGTAACAATGAAATTGTGGGTCACCACCACATGAGGAACTGTATTAAAGGGTCGCGGCATTAGGAAGGTTGAGAACCACTGATTTAAAGGATAGTGAGTAGATTTATCATGTAGAGTTTGTTCCAACCCAAAGGCTGTTCAGCCCTGTATGAGTCCTGTAACTTGTTTGGTCTGAGCTCTCTGCCTTCGTTAGCCATCAGTAATGGTAAAGTGATGACGAGTTTGAGTCTCCAGGGCAGGTTTGAATTTTCCGTTCACAATTACTGTCATTTCTACGGGAGACAGGTCGTCCATGTGGCTCACTGACGTTCTAACCGAATGGCTGTAAGCCTTCTGCCTCAGGAATAGGGTCTCCCCGTGGCGCTTGTCCTGATGGTGGCAGACAAGCTGAGCCCCGTGGAGCTGGCAGGGAAGGCTGCATGGAGGAGGCGAATTGTTAAGAAGGGCAGAGAGGTAAGATGTGGCCCAGGCAGGATTAATGGTAGACAGAAGGCCAGAGAGAGGAGGAGGAGGCCCAGGTAAAGGAGAAGTGCCTCCCTCTGGCGCTATGAGAGCCAGCACAGAGCTGTCCTCCACCCCCCAACCCCCCCCACACACACACACACCCCTACCCTGCGGCTCAGAGAGAGCCCTGCCTGTGTCGTCCTGGGCAGGTCTCTAGACCCCTGGCTCAGGGACCCACACAGCCCCTGCTTCTTAAACTCTGCCTCAAAGAGCACTCGGGTTCTTCCCACATCGTTGGCGGGAAACGTGCTGTAAGTTCGCCTCCAGAAGCAGAGGCGCCTCACGCCAGGCAGGGCCACGGGAAAGCGCGAGGCAGAGAGCGCGGGATGCGGGGGCGGAGCCTGTGACGCTTTCCCCGGAGGAATGGGTGAGGCAGGGTAGGCCGGCCAAGCAGACTTGGGATTGGCTAGTTTGAGTAATTGAGTAATGTTTAATGATTTGACTGCTTCTGCTTTTCTTAGTGATCTTGCCCTTTTTCATAGACTTATGCCCACCACCTCCCTATCTTCCCAACCCCAGGCGCATCCATGGTCTCCACCTCTGACCTCAGTTCTTTGAAAATCGGTTGCCTCTTTCCCAAATCTTTGAACTTCATGAGCGCTACCTTTCTTAGGATCGTGCTTTTGAGGAGGAAATGGAGACACTCAGAGAAATAGAAAAACTGGAACCGGTACCTGGGGCTGAGGGCAAACGGGTTCTACTGAAGAATAAAGAAGGAAGGATGAAGGTGGCCAGGAGAGGGCAGCGACCTTTGGGGCCCCTTTAACTCCGAGAAGCCCCTTTAACTCCAGTGGCTTCTTTCTGGCCCCGGGAGCGGCCCTCCCTGCAGGGCCACCTCTGAGGCCGGCCTGGCTCTCGGATGTGGCCCCGCAGGTGTGCCTGGCGCTGTCAGTGCAGGAGATTTCTGCAGCGTCAGGGAGGCTGGCTCAGAGGGTCTCTGCCGTGCATCCCACGTCCAGATCCAAAGCCCTGTGGTCACCCTGGCACACGGGGATCCCAGTTCATGCTGCATAACGATGAGCCCCCTCCAGAGGAGCCGAGAGCGGACAGTGTCCGTCCTCACGGGCTGTGGTCCCCGTGGACTGGAGCTGTGTGAACAGGCCCAGTCCCGGCTGTGATAAAAGACATCGTCTTGGGCAGAAGAGCAGGGTCTTGAGATCCTGCGAGGAGGGCCGGGGAGGTGCGAGGTGGTCATGGAGGCCTGGCTCTCTCGGTCCAGCCAGGGGGAACCCTCGGAGACCAGCTCACTCGGAGCCTCCAAGGGGAGGGTCCCAGGAGGCAGGTCCCAGGAGGACCAGTGTCCCTGTTGTCCCTGCAGCCGCTGTGCCCCAAGGAGCTCTGGCACTTCGTCCACCAGTGCTACGGGAGCGAGCTGGGCCTGACCAGCGACGACGAGGACTACGTGCCCCCCAGTGACGACTTCAACACGATGGGGTGAGAGGGGGGGCGGCTGCCCAGGGAGCCTTTCCCCGAGGGGCGAGGACAGCAGTGAGGGCCGTGGTGGGGATGGCACCTCGGACAGCCCCAAAGGACAGAGGATGTGAGGGGTGACCCAGGAGTTGCCTCTGGGAAGGCCTTCCTCTGGGGTGGGCAGGGAGCAGGAGCTGGCGCTGGGCGGGTGGGAAAAAGGGCAAATGGGAGAGGCCGGGTCAGGGAGTCAGCAGGCAGGTTCGCGGGGCCTTGGGGCCAACGTGACGCTGTCTTTTACTCAGAGGCGGTGAGAAGGCCGTGAGCAGATCATTGATAATATCTGGCTTCACGTTTCGACAGGACCCCTCTGGCTCCTGGGTTGAATGGCGCAAAGGGGGCGCGCGGACTGGCTGGGAGGCTGCTGAGGCATTGAGGTCATTTGAGGAGACGTGAGGGGGTTTGGACCAGGAGGTGACAGTGGGAATGGAAATGAGCGGTCAGTCTCTGAGTAGATTTTGAAGGTAGAACCAGAAGGATGTTGCAGGATCTGCTGGTGGATCCAGAGGGAACCACCGGTGGCTTTGCGTTTTCCTTGGATTTACCAACTGGAAGGACAGAGTTGCTCCAAACTGAGGTGGGCAGGAATAGGGCAGCACGACTTTGGGGGGAAGGACGGGAGCTTGGCTTCAGGCAACTTGAGTTTGAGAGGACTGCTGTCCAAGGGGAGGCACCCGCAGGCGCCTGCAGGTGCGGAGTTCACTGGGGGTCTGGGCGAGGGGCATCCCCTGGGAGCACAGTGGGCAGCCCTGAGCTCGCCGACGCCCAGGTGCCTGAGCGGGTGTAGGGAGAAGGTCAAGAAGGGGCCTGGGAATCCTGGCCGAGAGGAAGGAGCAGCTGAAGGATCGTGGAAGAGCCTTCAGTGGGGTGGGAGGGACCTGGACTTTCGTGTCCTGGAAGCCACGGGAAGGAGCCTGTAAGGAGAAGGAGGGGTCCCTGTGTCGCATGCGTTGGTGGTGAAGGAAGAGGGGCTGCGGAGTGACTCGGTGCGCTTGAGGTCTGGAGGCAGCGGAGGCCGGGGGTAGTGAGAGGCACCAGGAGGAGGAAGCCAGGAGCGCTGGGTGTGTGGTCCGGAGACCGGGCTCCGGTACGGTTCCTGAGACCTGATGGTGCTGTCGCCCAGCTCCTGCGGTGTCTACTTGATTGTCTCTAAATGCGCGTGGTGACTCACTCAGACGCGCCCGGCGAGGTCGTGTGTAAGGTGTGGGTCCGATGTCGTGGTGACGACGTCTCCCTTCTTCGGGTCATGTGGCACATCTGTGGTGACCCTGAGGGCGCCCACCTTTAGCTCAGGAGGGTTCCCCGCAGGTGCACAGGGCCAGGAAGTCGGCCAGCTGTGACCTGGGCTCTGGACAGGACCCCACAGGCACACGTGTCTGAGTTCTGTGCCCGTCACTGTGTGGGGAAGAGCATGTATGCTCAGAGCCCAGGTGTTCGATGCAAATGGTCAGGTTGGGATGGGATGTGGGGGGGAGGGAGAAGG